GTGTCTTGAGCTGTTTTTAAAATCTACCTGCTGGTGCTAACTGCAGTGAGCAATGCTCTGAACTGGTGTTAAGTCATACTATTGGAAATGATGTATTTTCTAAGAAAATGTGTACACTGAAGGTTTTAGTGCACATTTTGCAGACCTTCAGGTGTATTTTGACACACTTGTCAAATTTGCTTTTGAATAACCATCTTTCCAAAACTACTTTCTCTTTTTACTTTAAGCAAAACTTGGCACTTTGACTGTTTTCATGTGTTTTATGCTGCTATATATTAGTTGGATTTTTTAATATAGAATGCATTTATTTTATTTACAATAAGAAGTATTTGAATACTGTTTCTCATTGACTTCTGCAAGATTTTAATAAATAGAGGATATAGTAATTCATAAACATTGCTGTTTGCTTATGGATGATCATATAGGTCCCATTTGTACAGGAACAGTTTACAATTTAACCAAGGGTGACCATTCACATGTAGCACATAAATGTGTGCACGACTTGCATTTATTCTAACCTCAGTCTCTGAATTGGGGAAAGTCTGCAGTAGTAATTTGGCTCAATTGGAGAAAATGAGTAGAGCGAAGCAGTTGGTGCTGTGACCCCCACCTCTACATATTCTGCTGTGCAGCACTTTTATTTTGGACTGGATTTAGTGGAGCCTCTCAGGATCGAATATCCATGCCACAACGCGTGTTGAAACTGTTCAGAGCTGTTATTTGCTTGAACCTGTGCGCCCCGTGAGGGGTTGAAATGTGGCAGACAACACCATTGCGTTGGTAACATCATTTCCAGTTTCTATTTCTCCATAAAGAATGCACATCACTTGTACAAAAACTGGGCTGTGAACAAAACCATTGCACAGTAAGCAGCACTAGTGCAGAGGGCAGAAGGATTTGCTTCTAAGTTGCACTATTGCTCTGAACCAAAACACTAATGTAAACATAGCCTTCAGCTAACAGAACAAGGCCTTCTCCTATATATTACAGAGAACAGATAAGAGTATGAAGTCAGATAGATTCTGTTCTGTTAACTTTAAATTAATTTAGCCTGACATGAATGTGAGGACAGAGAGGAACATCATGGGAATGGAAAATGGATTTATGATAAACAAGGCAGCACTCATTGAATATTTACGTGCTTGCTTATATGTTTATTTTGCTCGTTCTGTTTTTTCTTCCCCCCATGACAGCTATACCTTTAGTTTAATCTCTTCAAATTTTCTGTTATATTAAAGTATGATCTTTTTATATATACATATAAAAAAACCATATGTATATACACACACAGAATATGCCTTACATCCTCTTGAGTTTCATCCTTGCTTTGACCTGAAGATCTTTCATCGGGGATTAAGATTGCGTGTCCTTTTTGTGACCGTAGCAGAACATAGAGGTTACCGTACCTGTCCTGCCCATAGGTGTTTGTTGTCCTCTGCTGGAAGTCACAGTCCTCTTAAATGTGTCAGAAAATACCGCATATGTGGCTGCTCTCTAAACCAGTTATTTCAGGATGCCAACATAAGCTCAGGTATTCTTAATATCTAAACCAGGTCACTTTGACAGAACTACGTTAGGGAATAATTACACAAGCAGTTGTGCTGACAGATGGGGAGGAGCTGTTGTCTCTTGAGCACAGGATGGGGAGGAGCAGTTGCTTTGTTGCTGTTTTCACCTGGCTCGCCCGCAGCCGAACAGCACTTTGGCCTGCAAACTTACCTTGTTCCTGTCCGTTTTTTTAAAAAGTACAAATAGAGTATCTTTTGTTAATAAAAGCAATTAAAATCAAAGTATTTGCTTCTTCAGGGAGAGAAAGCAAACGTGAACTGATTCTCACCACATTAATGGAAAGAAGGGAAGTTTACCATTTTACAGATGGGAGATCTCAGGTATAATTGTGGTGTGTGGGACTGTAATTTGGGCGCTCCACTGTTGGATTATACCTCTGAGCAGTACGTTGTTTTTCTGCCAGTTTTTCTGCAGGCTGAGTTTTTGAGTGTCATTGATCAGTACCCCATGGGGAGAAAGTGATAACTTAGCATGCTAAAATAAACTGGGAGATGTTATCTTTTGCCACCCAGACAGTTTGCCTGATAACTTTCCCTTACACTTGCTTTGTCTTTCTTTTTTATATAAATTTCCTTTTTGTTTTGATTCTTCCACAACACTTGAAAACTAACCATTAGCTGCAAATCCTGGCAGTACAGAACCTCTTAATTACTAAAAATAAATATTACCCTGCGGCAGAGGGCCCCGGACACTGTAGAAATGGTAGTTGGCATGAACTAGTCCTCCCCAGCATTTCTGGCATGATCGTGGCTGTGGAGGCGATCTCGTTCTTACCCTGGTGCCTGCAATACTGCCTGCGTGGCTGTTACCTAGCTGTTCCAGCAAGTTAGCTGTACCATCAAACCGCATCCTAACTGATGTGTTGGGAAGTAGAAACACAGACCTTTTTCCCCGACCCAGTCATGTTCTTTTCTAATTTTAATATTTGGATGTAAGTCATTAGTATCTTCTAACATAAGACTTTGAGATGTGTTGCATTACGTTTCATGTTCTGTCACCGCTGTATATCAAAGTAGAAATGGACTTGGGCGGGTTTTCTTTTTCAATAGGAAATGAGAAGTACAAGTTTGTTGTCTCTGTCTTTGCCATGAAACTGAGTTTCAATACGCAACTACTTCAGGATGAGTATTCCTATTCCTGTTCTATACCCAAACATTCCAGTTTCCTCTTCCCGAGTCTGGACAAGAAACACATATGTAAGCTGTTATTACCAGCAGAAGTATTGAAGCAGAATATTCCTAAGCAGTTTTTCAAGTGGTCCTAGGGGAGTTAGACTAATCAAGCTGAGGCAATCCAAAATGTCCCTCGCTAAAGCTCTGAAGCCACATGATATATTGTGTATCACAGGTTAATTGCTATAATTTTTGTGTTGTAAATAAAATAGAAATAAGATGTCTTCAAAAAGAGGAATTAAAGAGTTAGGGAAAAAAGCCTCCTTTTAATCAAAAAGAGCAATGTCAAAGTATGGTCTGTTGCAGACTTGGACAATACAGCTAAATATAACAGTTTTCTTTATGCATTTCTGTTTGCTTTATAAATCATCAGGTTGAGAATGGATTTTTGTGTCTCCTTTTCTAGGGTTCATCTGTTATCTCTGCAAGGTGTCTGGTTTTTTGGATGAGAGGGATGGCTTCCTACCTGAAAAGGGCATGTTCTTAATGGGTGGCCTTTCAGTATTGAAAGACGTTAGTAGAACTTTGTGCCCAGTAATCGATGCTGTTTGTTACAAAGATTTCCTGCTAGAAAATAAAAATACCTTACTACTAGTAGGGATCTTTCTCCGAGAATTGTGTTTTTAAAATCTATTTTAGAAGGTCAAGAGAGTGAGAGAGGATAAGCAAGACTATAGCAGTAATGGGGTTTTTTTGACATTGTGTCAGGTTTGATTCATGAGTGTTTTATATGACATTATTCTGTAAAATCTGTTGGATTGTATAACTGAGTAACAAGGTAAAGGTGGAGCTAGTTTGTGTTTGGTTTTTATTTGTGTGTTGTTGTTTTGGGTGGGTTTTTTTGAGACCTATGGAAACAGAGCTGTGCAACATCCTAATGACAGGACAACATAGTACAACACCTGCAGGGTATCACATGAAGTTGTAGGATGTGTAGTTATATCATTGCTGAGATTATAATAATAGTAATCATTTAACCTCACTGTTGAAAGCCAGGCAGTACATTATGATAACATGCCACATATAAAACTGAGGCGCACTCTTAATCTGTTGTCAACAGTTGTATGATTTGGTGATGAATCATATACCATATATATATACCATACATACCCGTATTTTCCTTACATCCTTCCAAACTGTTCCGTAGACATTCCATTCCATTAATGCCACTCCAGTAAATGTTACTGGTCTTCAGAGGTCCTCCTAGGTACATGTGATCTTAGCCTACACGTGTGGTCTTTGTTCATGAGGGGTTAGGATTTAAATTAATCACTCACACACTTTTTTTATTATTTTTTTTAAAAATAACCGAAAGGAAGGTAGGGGAAAAAGCTGTATTGGTCCCACAACTGAAGTGGGCTGGAGGATTTACCAGAAGGATCATCTTGGGTAGGAAAAATGAAATAAAAGGGGAAAATCCTAAGACTAGCCTTGCACTTACATTTCTCTTTCTGTAAAAGAATTCCCTTTCTGCGGGACTAGCATGACTGGCATGAGGTTTTTGTACGAGGCATGAGCCTCTGTCCCTGCAGCTGCTGCTGTCTGCCCTGTTTGCTTTACCCCAGTGCCTGAATTCCTCTAGCCTGTGGGTCCCACATGCAGTTTTAGCATGTGCATGCTTAATGCTTGTGACACAAATATCATCTCTATTTGCAGGTAAGTAAGGCATGGTAATTTGTTCAAGTATGTGTATCAAAGACTCTGGCCAAGACAAGTTCCCTGTTTTCAGGGACAGCCTTTAAAAAAATTTTCTGTATTTGCCCCAATTTCTGAACTGTACCTTATTGTCCCTGGTGGCTAAGGGATAGCTCACTGTAAGTAAGAGATTCTCACATATGCCTTATGCTAAGCAAGCAAATTATTCAAACAATATCAAATTGATAAGTTTTGTAAGGTAAACACACTGTTTTTATACAGCATATTTAAACATGATCTCTATATTCAGAGAGGAAAATCCGATCCACATTGAAATTGGTGTTAAAACTTTGCTGGGGCCAATGCTGATTGTCAACTTTAATGTGTCATATTCAGATTCTTGTGCATGCTAAATACTTACTGAAGAACAATTTTGGTGTTTTAGAACATCTTTTACGGTATGGAAGTAACAATCTGAAGAGAGGAATTTCCAGTCAGCAGTGAAAGACTGTAAGCTATAGAGCTACAACACAGAATTACAGAACTACAAGAGTATTTTTAAATCTATCAACACATAACAAATTATTTGCGTGCAAGTTGGTCACTTGAGTTGTGTATCTGCCCATGTCTAATGTTGAATTCTCCTTTTAACAGGTAGAGAGAATTGTTGACAAGAGGAAAAACAAGAAGGGAAAAACAGAGTATTTGGTGCGATGGAAAGGATACGACAGTGAAGATGATACTTGGGAGCCAGAACAGCACCTTGTTAATTGTGAGGAATATATACATGAATTTAACAGACGCCACAATGAAAAGCAGAAAGAAAGCACATTAACCAGGACAAACAGGACCTCTCCAAATAATGCCAGAAAACAAATTTCTAGATCTACCAATAGTTCTTTTTCAAAGACATCCACTAAGTCTTTAGTCATGGCTAAAGACCATGAGTCAAAAAATAATCAACTCTTTTCTGCCACCCAGAAGTTCCGGAAAAACAATTCACCATCTCTTTCTGGAAGGAAAAATATGGACCTTGCAAAATCAGGTATTAAAATCCTAGTGCCCAAAAGTCCAATTAAGAGCCGGACAACAGTTGACGGCTTCCAGAATGAAAGCCCGGATAAAATGGACCACATAGAGCAGGATCAAGAAGACTCTGTAGCACCAGAAGTTGGAGCAGAAAAGCCAGTGGGAGCTTTATTAGGACCTGGTGCAGAGCGTGCTAGGATGGGAAGCCGACCAAGGATACATCCGTTAGTGCCACAATTGCCAGTGCCAGTAACAGCCACAATTGCATCAGCATTAACGATAAATGGAAAAGGTATGTGTATGAGTCGGTTGTTTTTGTGTACATTTTTCATTTGACTGATCTTTTTTGCCGTTCAGATGCAAACAAATTACCCACTCTGTTTCAGCCATGTTAAATCAAGTCTGGAGAACTTCACAACTTTATTTTGCATAACTATATGACTACAAAGCCATTTTGAATTTTGCCAGCTTTTGCTTTCCTCGCAGAGATTCATTGGTATTTGTGTTTTTCGGAATCACCATAAGATACATCTGTGTTTGCCTTGACATTGTGTGGTACATATATTCTGTGTACCACTTCCAGAGATTACATCATTGCTTTAAGTTTCTTTAAATAGGTCACATTTGTTATTAATATTAGAAACATAAATTATGGGAATAGATGAATGATGTGAGGAGGGATTCTTCATAACAGTTTACATATCTATTTTGTTACAAATATTGACTGGGAAAAAAAACTGTGAGAACAACATTGCTTAAAAAAAGAAGTTGATATGTTGTTTCAATGAAAAATTGAGCCAGTTGTGGAGATACATATGCCTGCTGCCTGGACTGAATTCTGTCTTCATTATATTTTATCAATATTTTGTTGTTTATACCTCATCTGATATTGAGAGCTAATTTAGGTTTGATGCCTGGGTTGTTAATATCTCAGTAGATGACAGTTTCTTCAAGTTGTACTGTAAAATTTGTGACAGCAATGAAACCCAAAGTGCTTTTGTGGGAGGAAGCTGTTTGTTCCCCCCACCCAGCTGAGACCCTCGTTTAAGACTTTGTTGTTCATCTCAGTGGCCAGTCCGGCCCAAACCACAACAACAGTCCTCATTCTTGTGCCCCGAACTTTTGTTCTTCCCTGACAGACCCAGGTTGTTGCATAGTCACAGGTGTTCTTGTAAGCATGCTTTTGAAGCTAAATTTTCAAGTGTAATAGTGTGTCCTCGAATAAAATGCAGTGGGTAAAATTGCAGATATGGTGTTGATGACAACTTGCTGGAAAAAATTGCTTGAAAACCAAGAACTGGGTCTGCCAAAAACCACATTTACAGACAAACTATGTAGACACAAAAATGAGTTGAAGACTTTGGGAGAGTTTGTGTTGGGTGCCCTAATGTTGCTGAAACATGGATTTTCTGGGAAAAAAAAAAAGCTGCAGCGGGAGAGGTTGCAAAGCAGTGGACAAGGGAGGAGTTTGCTCCTGGAGCTGCGGTGTCAGGTCATGGACCAACCCATTTTGCTGCAGAGGAACTAGGTAACCATGGTAATGCACACACAGATGCCAGGAATATCTCTTTCTTTGCATGGACTAAAGAAGGAATGTAAATCTCAGAGGATGTAAACAAAGCTAGAGGGGAAAATGCAAGAGGTGCCAGTATGTGAGTTTTCTGAGTAGCTGAGGTAGAGGAGTGTGTTTGCGCTTGTGATGGTTTTGTGATAATTAATATGCATTTTGGAGTATGGCGGTGTTCCTCGTGAAGTGATTGATAAGTGCTGCCTTCAGCATCCTGTCTTTTCGCCTTATGGCATTCAGAAAAAAAAAAGTTGGGACACAAAGGACCTTACTGAGTAGATCAAAATGATTAAATAATTCCCACCAACCTTTGGCTCTGCTAATAACAGTACAGTGAGGGCTCAGTTACAGGGCAACAAGTGGAAGTGGAAAGACCTGCACAGGAATGGTAGTGACGAAATATTTATTAGCTGAGGTGCATTTATCTGTTTCACTGAGATGTTACAATTTCCTCAACTGCCACTACCTCCTTCAGCTCTTCATGGGCATTTTATCTGGGCAGCTAACATTGAGAGCTACCGACTCACCCTAGCAATGATGGCAATATGACATCACGCTTACGTTTTCACATGATCTTAACGTGTAGGTCAAAAAAAGGAGAGCTAAGGAGATAGTCACAATATGCGGTTGCCCAAAAATATGCAATATGTTTCCACCTTTAGTCTGCTGCAGGAGGGACGTTAGTTCAAGTACATTAATTGAGGTTTTCCCTCTCTGTCCTGAAACACTGCTGCCGATCCCCAAGCTGAGCTGTGCTTCTGGGAAATGGTTGCCAAATATCCGAATTTATTACAGCTTTGCAGGCAGTTATGCTCATTTGTAACGCTTTTGGAGGTAACATCCAAATCATGCAGCAGTTCTCTGATTATAAAGCTTGGAAACAAAGTTGCAAAAGAAAAATACTTTGTGTTGATACCTGACATCAGTTTCTTTTCCGAGCTTCTTAGGGTTTCTTGGGCTGATACCTTTCTCACGGAAACCCGGGCTCCAACTGAGCCATTCTGCATGGCCAGGTTGGACCTTTATTTAGAGAGAAGCCAAGAGAGGCAGCCCTGTCTCTTAGAGCTAGCCTGGCCTTGGAGCTTTCTGATCTGACACAATCTCTGTCTCTTCATTAAAGCTGCGCTCTTCTCCTTGCTGTTTTTATTTTTAACTTCACACTGCTGTTCATTAAAATGTAGTAAATCGATGCTTCCCTCCCTCCCCTGCACGGGGCTGTCACAGTTCAGCATCCCTTTTCACTCCTTAACTCAGGACATTCCTTCTGTCTTAAATGGACACCTCATCACGTTTTTGACACCACCTCCGGAATGATACACCACGAGAGGTATTCATTGTACAGCAGCGCCACCAAATTCATACCCTCATCTTCATACGTACCTGATCTGACATATTAATAATACAGATAGATCTGG